ATATTGCAAGTCATGTTTGTGCTGATGTAAGCTGCTCAATGCAATGAAAGTTGTGGCAAAACGGGTTGAACCTGGGTCTATAATTTCTATCCAACTCTATTCAAGTGATAGACAATAAATGTTAGCATTTTGTAAATTATTAAAAAATTTACATATATAATATGTCTTGACAATGTAAATAATAAACATATGAGGTAAAGGTATATAACCTGTTTTTTCCTCAACAAAGCTAGCACAAAGGAATGATTATACACAAACTTTGTAACCTCAAATGCACGTGTCGAAAGGTTGACTATATGACTCATCTCAGCTATGTCTTTCAACATCAATTAATGCAATGTGCTGCACAAGGAGACCAAATAATACTGCTATATTTTTCAGACAACATTCTTCTAGCAGCTTTATAATTTGCTCCATTGTCAATGACAAGATAGACAATATTGTTTGGTCCAACCCATAAAGCTATTTCCTCAAACAAGTTGAACAATGTTGCAGCATCCTTTACAAAATCTGAACCATCCACTGATTTCACAAAACACACTCCTTTAAAGCAGTACACTAGAAAATTAATCAGCGACCTATGTAAATTATTTGTCCAACCATTAGCCATTAAAGTACATCCAATATCCTTCCAAGTTTTCTTGTAACCATCAACAAGTAATTGCACTTCTTTCCTAGCATCTCTCAATAAATTTACACGCAAATTATGATAAGTTGAGATTTTATACCCAGGACCAATTGTAACTATAGCATCCGCCATAGGTTGAAAATAAATTGAATTAATAACATTAGTTAAGATGCAAGAATCATAAAATAACATTGCAACAGCCATGTCCGCTCTCCACTTAGCTTCTTTTTCGGCTAAAACACTCTTAATTGAGGGCTGAGACCCAGACTTAGTCCTCGGAGCAAAATAGTCACTTATCCCAATAGATTTTTTTCTCTTAGTGCTTTAAGTTGAAGTTGAAGTTGGAGCTGGACATGGAGAAACCTCTTCACACTCTTGATCTTTATCTAACATATCACCCTCAAATTGTTGTACACTAGCTCTATAAGATTGACATTCTTACAAAGTTCAACTCTTTGTTTATTCTTGGCCCCAATTTCATTTAGTGCTTCTTTAATCTTGAATTTAACATTGAAAGGACCTTTAGGGCACTTTCCAACTTCTCCCTTTATATCCGCTAGCTGCAATTTCACTCAATAAATTCCTCCACCTCTGATTATCTTGCCACAATAAAGACGTGTTAATATCTTCTTCCCATTTTCATCCACGCCCTCATTAACATGTCCCTATGCTATATCATTTGTTCCTCGAAAAGTTTGTGAAACATCCACGAAAGTAGATTGTTGAAAAGAACCGGATGATGACATATTCTTTATCTTTAATCTTGATCTCTACCCTGGCGACACAAATAACAAATAAGGCTGTTAGGATAGCACACAACAGTGTTCGGATTATAAAAGCATTATATTCCCTCTAAGCATTCAGTGCTAATGTTCTGAATTATTGTTCCTTTTTGTGTAAATATATAAATTTAGATAGCATAAGAAGTCAATCTAATAATTAAGCATGCATGATCCCTGTAATCTACAGCTTTATGTTACTAAACTACTTGCACATTATGTCTTTGATCTTCGGTAGTTATTTAATCGCTTATTCAATTTTGGAAAAATTAGATTGGAAGGCATGCGCAGATCTTGTGAAGCTTTTGAATCATCTGAAGAAAGAATTAACTATACTTGTTGTTAGTCATGACCTCAAGTAAGTTTGTATTTTTTAATTTTGTCTTCTATCTTTTTATAGGGATATACTGTAGTTTTCATCACTATGTCATCATAGTATGGAAATTTATGATTTCTACTGCCCATTTTGAGATCCATTAACTATAATTTCTACTGTCCATTTATGTTAGACATCATTTACTTGAGGGCATTGTAACATTCCTTTGAAAGAAAGATGTGATTTCTTTTTTAATAATATCAACTTATGATCCATGATCACGGGTATGAGTGTTTGGACACAAGGTGTCATGTATGGCAATGAGCTAATCCTTTCATTCTAGACATTGGCAAACCTCTGCATATGCACCTCTTTGTGTCTCTTTTGTGCATGCATATTTGGGTATCTCCTTTCTCGAGTTCTTACTTTGTTTGGACAAACTTTAGTCAGTATATAATGAAGAAAGTATAGTTGTAAACAGGCTTTGGCATAACAAAAATGAACAAGACATGAGGGTAAAGGTTAAGGAGCAAAACTTGTACTCCATGGATCTGTATCCTTCCAAGTTAAAGAATTAAAAGTTTTGAGCATTGCAATCAGATTTGTCGTGTGTTTACATCACCTGTGTAGAAGAAAAAATAGAAGTTCTAATTTCTAATTGCATCATTGAATGCCTTATTTCATACTAGTGTAAATATGTTGCAAAATTAAGTCACCCAATATTAACGTCATCAAAATCTAATAGACTATTTCAATCATAAACGTTTCACCTATAACCAGACTATTTCAATCCAATAGACTATTTCAATCACCATAAACATTCTACAATTTCTTGGCAACCAAACAGAGACCAAGCCATCACATTAAGAAATGAAAATACAAATCAATGTGAAAAAATGGTTACCTGGTGCTGGTGAAGACGAGTTGTCATTGACTGCAGGAGAGTTGGAGCTCGACTGTGTCGAATGAACAGAGTAGAAGACGAGAACGAAGAAGAGATCGCGATTGGCGACAGTTCCTGAGCAAGAAGAAGACGAAAACGACGGTGTAGCTCCTAGATTGACGATGACAAATTAATAGAGCAGATCGACGATGAAGAAGAGTGGAGAGGAAAAAGAAGAGATCGCAAAATGGGAGGAGATTCGTGATACCCCAACTGATGATGAACTATGCAGTTGATGGCAAAGGTTGAAGCCATGAGATTCGACGGTGAAGGGGAGACTCTGATGGATGATGAAATCGTTCAGACCAAAAGGGAGGGAAGTGGCGTGAAAATAGGGGGGAAATCGTTGATAACTTGATATTTGCTTTGGGATGGGGGGTTTAATGTTTAATTTTTTATATAATAGGGGTTTAATTAACATTTTCACTTTTTAAATTTTTTAATTTAGCATTGACCCGATTTCTGTCAAAATAACGATTGGACTGGCGGGTGCTACAATACCCCCGATCCAACCACGGGTGAAATTGGGCAAGCTAATTATGTCTGGTTTAAGGCTCACCCGACCCGACTGACTGGCCGAGTCCCAATTTAACCGATTCAACCAGCCAGGCCGGACCGGACCGGATTTTAAAACATTGACTTTGATTTAACTAAATTTTAATTTATAATAAACTAATAAGAAAAAAACTATTTAAGAGTATTTTCGTCTTTTCAATCAAATATTAACAGAAAATACTAACAAAACTTGACAAAAGGTGGGAAAATATCATTTTGAAACTTGACGGCTGAGAAAGTGTTGTTTCACCAAACTTTGGGTGGGAAAATGTCATTCTCCCAAATACAAAAATCATTCTTCAAATTTCAAGGGCTTAACGCTTAAACCCTAAAGTTCGGCAAAAAATATGGGCACTAAACTCTGAGAGAGGAATGCACACTACAGTCTTATCAGTTTCTATAACACCAGCTGATTTTGGTTTTCATATCTAACAAATGTCCAATTAAAATTTCAATAACACTACGGACACCAAAATTTTTGCATCGAATTTTTGTACCGGCCGACGTGGAATGCGTTCTCCCATTTCTTTATAATTTTTTTCTAGTGAACGGCCGTCCATCAAATTTGGACGGTCGTTCACTCACATGGACGCCCGTCCATCAAATATGGACGGGCGTCCATATGCGAGGGACGGTTGTCCATAAAATATGGACGTCCGTCCATATTAAAATAAAATAAAAAAGTTTGTAAAAGTTTAGGGACGGTCGGTCCATTAATTTTGGACAGGCGTCCACAAATATGGACGGGCGTCCATATGCGAAGGACGGCCGTCCATATAATATGGACGCCCGTCCCTATTAAAATAAAATAAAAAAATTTGTAAAAGCTTAGGGACGGTTGTCCATCTATTATGGACAGCTGTTCGTTAATTTTGGACGGGCGTCCATATTCGAGGGACGGCCGTCCATATAATATGGACGCCCGTCCCTATTAAAATAAAATAAAAAAATTTGTAAAAGCTTAGGGACGGCCGTCCATCCATTGTGGACGGCCATCCATTAATTTTGGATGGGCGTCCACAAATAATGGACGCCCGTCCTTCACCCAAATATGAAAAAAAAAGAAAAAAAATTCCATGGGGACGCCCGTCCACCAATTGTGGACGGCCGTCCCTTAATTTTGGACGGGCGTCCGTAAGTTTTGGACACCCGTCCAAAATTAATTCTTAAAAAAAATATTTTTTAAACACTGGACGGTCGTCCCTAACTTGTGGACGGCCATCCATTAATTGTGGACGGGCGTCCATACTGACTGGACGCCCGTCCATAAGGGTTGGACGGCCGTCCCTTTTGTAAAGGATAGCCGTCCATAATGTTATTAAAAATTTTTTTAAAAAAACATTTTTCGCGTTTTAGGTTAAAACATTTGGGGAAGTTTCAAAATTTTTTAACACCCAGGCAGCCATTACCATCTTCTTCGTCTTCCATCTGCGTTACTGCGTCTTCTTCGTCTTCGCGGTGTTTTTCTTCTGGACTCCTGTTCTGCGCTTCTTCTTCGTCTTGGTAATTAAAATTTCCTTTTTCAAGTTTTTTTTTGAAATTTTTTTCTTTGGTTGGATGAATGTGTTGAATGGAGTTGAGTTGATGAGATAAAATCCAGTCAATTTGGTAGGACTNCAAGTTTTAAAACATTGGTGATAACATATCACTTACAGCGAGAATTCTGGGATACTACTTGAAATACATAACATTGTATGTAGAGTCTATTTAGTAATCAAACAAATCAAAATGGAGTATAATCACTAGTGGTACAAAAATAAATCCACACAAGCACAAATATAACCATAAAAATAATAGATTAGAAGGATGGATTTGATGTGCCTGTATGAATCAAGATTATAAAACCCAGAAAATGAATCTACTATTATCATTAACTAGTCACTATTCTGCACATGAAGCGAAAACACCATCACAACAGCTGACTAAAATATATTTCCGTACTCCGAAGAAGAAAGAAGGCACATCAAAGGTCGATGATAACGTTCAAACATCTTTAGCTAAACTAGAGAAATCAAAATTTTCAGGTTTGGAGTCCGGCTGATTCAGTTTAGGAGAGGCTTCCATCTCAGGTCTGCCTTCAATCGGTACCCCTCGCCTGATATATGGTGAGGATGGAGATTGATTGCCTTCAAATGGCACCCCTCGCCTAGTATATGGTGAGGGTGGAGATTGACTGTCATACCCGAATGCATCAAAGATGTGGTTCTTCATATCTTCAGCTGCTTCAAAAAAGCGGCTGATCCCACCAAAGAAGTGATGTTCAATTGAGTCAATATCATTGCGTAGCCCAGGAAAATCGAATGGCGCATCAAGTGATCCAGAGGGGTAAGACCCTCTCATCACCTGCTCTGTGACATCATCTTCAGTGTACTCTTTGTTGGATTTAATCACTTCCACAGGCCTAAATGAAACACCAAAGAAATTCAGAAAAATTCGGAAAAGCGAAAAGGAAACAATATATAAATGAAAGGAATGAAGAACCAAGAAGAATAGGTGAGCATTGCTACAATTACAATAATTAAGGACAAGTCGTTATTTGATAATACAAGACTAAACAAATGACCCAAATGGTCAACTGTTCGATGGCATTGATATTGCATAGTGTGTCCTACTTTAACCAATATAAAGGTGCAAGGTGGCTCAAGATACAATCAAAATTGAGAAGTCAATAGTTTATTCATTCTTTTTAGAAAATTTAAGCTCATTACAGTCTAGAAGATGCAATAGAACACAACCAAATCGAAGTAAATCCAACAATTTAGTCTACTGCCACTGTGTGCGATTATAATAGAAGACCACATCTTAGATCACAGAGCCATCTCAAGAAATTTGTCTCCATATTCTCTTCAATCTTAATCATATATTTTTGACATACAGCAATAAATTGTTTAATCTTATCTATTTCCCCTAGATGCTAGCATACAAATTCCATCCCTTTTTTCAACCCACCACTCAAACATCTTGTAACATCAATTATCAATGAACCAATATCATAATTTAATATAAATAATGTAATTCCATAGTCATACATCCTTGTGAAAACACATTCATATCATCTAAGTATTGCAAAATTTGGTATGTTCCAAAGCCATAAAACTAATTGCATCACAGGTTCAAATTTATATTTTCACCTTCCAGCTCAACTAAAAATTCTAGCTTAAAGTACTAAGATGATTTCTGGAAAAATTAAAAAAGAGAAGAAATGAATAAGATAGCACTTTTGAATCTTACGAGTACATAGCAATGGACATGAGAGCACATCCTTATCACTCCATACTAAAGATGTCCCACCAGATAGGACATATCTATGTATCCATATGACAAACTGGCAACTATTTTCTCTAAATCTTTCTTTTTTTTCTTTCAAAATATCAAAACAACCTCAAAATCATACACATTTAGATATAATTCAACCTCCTAAATACCTACTTCCATACTTCACACTTCGGCCAACCTAACTATTCTCTCTACAGCATCCCTCTAAATTTACTTACCCTGGTACAACCAGACAATGAGTTAATGCTATATAATCTCAAGCGCCTCATAATTGGTTCGTTGCGCATCTGAACTAACTTTCTCACTAATATAACGTTTGATTTCAATCTCCGTGTTTACATAAAGGGGCCGTAAAACGGATTTTTGTCACAAATTGTGACATAAATTCCACGACCATTGATTCATTTAATCCAATGGCTTTAAAATTTCACTGTCTGCATTCAAAATAACTAATTCTAACCTCTCATCCAAGTCATCAGGTTTGTGTCACAAATTTGTCAAAAGTTTGTGTTACAATAGCCGCACCCTATCAAGAATCATCAAGAACCAAAAACCGAACAGAAAATTTAAAATTCTAAAATTTCAACGCCAAGCACATAAATTCCAATACACAGAGAGAAAACAAAGCTTCAACAATTATATGAGACCTTCCATTACAACTACAACATCGTAAACACATTAAATTAATATATCAAGAATTTTCGATTTTTCCTCACAAAAACCAAAGAAAGAGATGAAAAAAAGTAATCGAAATAGAGCTTAACGAGAAAGAGAAAGAGAGTTTAGAATTTTACTTTCCGATGCAGTTCCTCAGAACCTCTTCGGTTTTCTCGCACTTTCTAACGAACTTTCCAGGTTCCACTTCTTCGGTTCTGCACTGCGATCTCACCACCGTCCTCGTGGCGCAACCTCCACCGTTCGATGAGTTAACGGAATAATCACCTCCACCGTTCGTAGAGTTAACGGAATAGTCTGCGTCGTCCTCGTCTCTCCACACCCAACCCATTCTTCCGGTTTCTAGAAGAATCACGAATTACTCGCTGCGATGTTTGGTTTTAATAATCTTCTGTTTATAAGTAATTTCAATTTGTGTGGAGAACAAGTTTCGTTACTATATATATATATATATATACACATATGTACGAATCTTTTTAAGACCCCAGTATTTTAAAAAATAACGAATCAAACCCTTAAGTGTACAAAATAAAAACTTGTAGATAAGATTGCCTCGTAAACAACATAAAAGATTGACCTATATATACGAATAATACTACATATACATCATTTTCATACAAAATTTCTCATACAATACTATGCGGTAAGATGTGATTGGGTGAAAGTTTGATTTTAACTTTAAATTAGTCAATCATATATTGCCACGTCTTGTTGTATGAAAATTACGTATGTGTAATATTACTTATATATTTTCTACTATCAATATGCAGTTTTAATATTTACTTATATTATTATCATTGGGGAAATTATGATAATAATTTTGCTAATAATTGAATTTATTCAAATTAAAAACAAGATTTTAACTTCTTTTTTTCACCTTAGCTCTCACTTTCTCTCTTCCACCAACTCTAAGTTATTAGTAGAAGATAAAATGGCTCCAAAAAAATTTATAATACAAACTTTATTTACAATAAATTAAGTCTTTCTTCTTATTCAACATTCCATGACCACGATACGTGGATGACAATAATCCCTCTCTTTGATATTTAAACAAAAAATGAAACATGATGAGGGCTTTCTTTTTTCCTTCTTATGATAGTTTATTAAAATCGATAGTCATACTAATATATGATTATTGATGAATTATAATTATTAATATGATATATTTGCACTAATAGAATAATATAATATATCTGTTGTTGCATGTAAAGACAATATCCAATTATTCAACGTCACATATTTTTATGTGGTAGCTCTTTTAAAACTACTTATCATATTGGTGATTCTTGGTAAAAAAAATTAGTATCATATTTATGAATAGGGGGCATTTTGTTATTTTTTAAACTTAAGGGACTTATTAAAACACCGTTTAAACTAAATATAAAGTGGGGAAGGATATCATCACGTGGTTAGCGATCGTGACAGACGCTGCTGTGTTTGTAAAATTTTGAAACGTGGCACGTTGTGGCGGTGATATGCAATACTTCAACTCGAACAACTTCCCCAACAACACATCTCTTTACGAAATACTGGGCTGAGCCTGGGCCAGCCCAATTGTAATATATTGAGGATAAAATAGACCCAACTATTTATAAAATTAAATATTAAATTTTATTCAAAATTAAAGTATAACATATGTAAATTAGTTAAAGATATTAATTCGCCCTAGGTTTTATTCAATAAAAAAAATCCTCATGATATTTTTAAATAACGTAAATCCTTCAACCGTTAAGTTTAGAAATTAAAATAAACAGTGTAAAAAAACAATTCGATAAACATATATAAACTTATAATAATGTATATTCTAATAACTCATTAACAATCTACTACCGGTAAAGAGATTTTATTATTTTACTAAACCTTCATATATAATAATGTAAGGTTAATTTGCACAAAGAAGTTCGTATAAAATATTTGTAATACATTAAATAAATTAATATAACTAATGATTAAATGAATATAATAAGTAAACTCTCCCTTCAAGTTGGTTAATAATTGTTGTGGCGGCAATGGCCGTTGGTTCATAAATAGCGGGTAAATGAAGTTTTAATGCATTGAAAAATCACCAAACCATGGTGTACTTAGCCAGATTCAAATTCTTGTATTCAAACTCAAGCTGTAAACTGAGAAAATCTGAACTCTGTAGAGTTTGGATTTCTCGTCTGTCAACCTTTTCCAAATCATCTAAACCTTCTCAAACTAAAAATGCCCAGCATCACCCTCCAAAGGGCCAAACAGAGAAAATTTCTTCCCTTTTTAACGAAATAACTGAAATTTTAGGGGCTGATAATGTTGTGCCAGATGAAACCCCATTTGGGCTTTCGATATCACGAGAAACGGAGGAGAAAGCAAGCAGGGTTAGCGAAAATTTTGATTCTTGCTTACCAAGTGTTTGTGGAAATGCCCAAGAGGAGAAATTTTCGGTATTGGGAGATACCCAGATGGGGAATTTGAGTGAAATTGATGTCAGTCCTGTGGTTCATGAGATAACAGAGATTGTTAGGGCTGAAAAGTGTGTTGTTTCGCTGGAGGAGAGGTTGGGGAATTTGGGTTTTCGGTTTGATCCTAAGGTTGTTGAGAAGGTTTTGAAACGATGCTTTAAAGTGCCGAATTTGGCTTTAAGGTTTTTCAATTGGGTGACGGTAAGAGAAGGGTTTCATCATACGAGTGAGATTTATAATACCATGTTGTCGATAGCTGGTGAAGCGAAAGAGTTTGGGCTGATGGAGGAGTTGGTGAAAGAAATGGAGATGAACTCGTGTGAGAAGAGTATCAAGACTTGGACAATTCTTGTATCGCAGTATGGAAAGGCGAAGCTGATAGGGAAAGCTTTATTAGTCTTTGATAATATGAAGAAATGCGGCTTTGAACCTGATGTGTCAGCTTACAAGATAATGATACGATCGCTTTGTAATGCCGGAAAAGGGGACATAGCTTTGGAGTTCTATAAAGAGGTGGCACAGAAGGAGATGCTGCTCGATTTGAATTTGTACAAGATGGTAATGAATTGTGCAGCAAGATTGGGCGATGTTGATGTAGTCCACTCTGTTGCCAATGATATGATAAAAATCTCTCAGATTCCGGAGCATGATGTTTATGTTCATATGCTGAAGAGTTTTTGCGCCTCTGGGAGAATTAAGGAAGCTTTAGAATTGATTCAGGACCTCAAGAGTAAGGAGGTATCAATTGACGACGACTATTTCAAGACTTTGGTGGAAGGACTGTGTAGGGCTGGTAGGATTTCAGATGCTTTGGAGATCGTCGACATTATGAAGAAAAGAGATTTGGTTGATGGGAAGGTCTACGGGTTCATTATTAGTGGACACTTGAGGAAAAATGATCTTTCTAAAGCTCTCGTTCTGTTTCAAGAAATGAAAGAATCTGATTATCTGCCTCTGGCTTCTACCTATACAGAGCTAATGCAATGCCTCTTCAAGTTAAATGAGTATCAGAAAGGCTGTGAACTATACGATGAGATGCTGCAGGGAGGAGTCCAGCCAGATAGTGTGGCAATCACCGCTATGGTTGCAGGTCATGTTCGCCAAAATCATATATCCGAAGCTTGGAAAGCGTTCGAGAGCATGAAAGATTACGGTATCAGAACCACTTGGAAATCTTATTCAGTGTTTATCAAGGAGCTTTGTAGAGTTTCCAGGACCGATGAGATTTTTAAGGTTTTGAATAAAATGCAGGATTCCAAAATAGCAATTGGGGATGAAATATTTCATTGGGTTATATCTTGTATGGAGAGAAGGGGAGAGATGGATAATGTCGAAAAAGTCAAGCAGCTCCAAAGAATCTCTAAACTTCACTCTCAAGGTGAATTCTCTAGTAATGAAACTTGCAGGAGACAAGAACTCCACGTGGAGTTGAACCATAACCAAATAGAGCAAGAGAAGATGAATTCTGTCTTGGTGAAGCCACCTTCAAAGGCTTACGGTGAGCAGGATTTGAAAGAAATTTGTAAGATCTTATCATCCTCCACGAACTGGTGCTTCGTTCAAGAAGCTTTAGAGAAATGCGCTGTCCAGTTTACACCAGAACTTATTCTGGAGATTTTGCGCAAATGTGAAACGAATGGTAACACAGCTCTGCAATTTTTCTCATGGGTAGGTAAACAAGCTGGTTATCACCACAGTACAGAAACTTACAACTTGGCGATCAAGATTGCAGGACGTGGGAAAGATTTTAAGCACATGAGGAACCTCTTTTTCGAGATGAGAAGAAAACGTTACATAATCTCGCCAGATACATGGACAATCATGATAATGCAATATGGTCGAGCAGGTCTAACAGAGATTGCTCTGAGGGTTTTTGGGGAGATGAAAGGTAATGGCTGCAATCCAACAGGTAGTACCTACAAGTATTTAGTCATATTGCTTTGTGGGAGAAAAGGTAGGAAGGTAGATGACGCTGTAAAAATATTTCAGGAGATGATTCATGCAGGATATATCCCAGATAAGGAATTGATTGAAACATACCTTGGTTGTTTAAGTGAAGTAAGTAAGCTGCAGGCAGCTAGAAGTTGCATCGATTCACTCTGCAAAGTTGGTTTCACTCGCCCTCTAAGTTACTCCTTGTATGTTCGAGCTCTTTGTCGAGCAGGAAGATTGGAAGAAGCCTTAGCATTGCTTGATGAGGTTGAAGAAGATCGACCTAAACTGGATCAGTACATCTATGGCAGCGTTGTTCATGGACTATTGCGAAGGGGACAAACAGAAGAGGCATTGGCAAAGGTGGAGTCGATGAAGCAGGTAGGCGTTTATCCAACTGTCCATGTTTATACATCCTTAATAGTCCATTTTTTCAAAGAAAAACAAATAGAAAGAGCTTTAGAAACTTTTGCCGAAATGCAAGAACAGGGTTGTGAGCCAACAGTCGTCACTTATTCTGCATTGATTCGAGGATACGTGAACGTGGGTAAGGTTATTGAAGCTTGGAATGTCTTTAACCATATGAAAACGAAAGGACCTTACCCTGATTTTAAGACTTATTCGATGTTCATAAGTTGTCTGTGTAAGGTAGGGAAATCTGAAAAAGCCCTGCAGCTTATATCAGAAATGTTAGACAGTGGAATTGTTCCTAGTAATATTAATTTTCGAACAATATTTTTCGGGCTTAACAGGGAGGGTAAGCAAGATTTAGCTCGTTCTGTATTACACAAAAAGTCTGCTTTAATACGTAGCCGAAAGTTCTTAAACTGAATTGTGTTTGTTTGGGATAATATTTGTTTTGATGACCTATATTCTTGGCTTATACTTTAGTAAAGACAATATACATAAAATCTTATACCCATTTCTCTGTTGTCATCGCTTCTTAATACACCATTTTCGTGAAATCAAAGTAGACAATATCTACTGGGAACTGTACTTATGAATCTGAATGAGAATGTCAAACAATATCTACTCGATCAGGCTGAAAAACTTGGACATCACTCAATAAAATATCTTACAAGCAGTAACTCTAACATGGAATAATATTTCATAAAATAAACAAAAGAATCTCATTTAGTAGTCCATGCATTTATTTCTGGCCAAAAAAGCCCAGGAAATACTAAGATAAATGTGTCAGACTCACATATGTGAACACTTATAATTCAATTATTTTTTTTCAAAAAAGAAAATGTAGCTCAGATCATTAAATTACAAAAATTAAAAAAGAGCTAATGTGACAATAGGTACCACAGGGATCTCAACTTTCCTATTCAGATTCCTTCATCTGTGTTTACTTCAGTAGCAACTAGGCCATCCATCAAATTCAGAAATTTCACCTACAAAAGGGGCAGAAAAAGGAGTACATAGCTTTGGAGTTCTATAAAGAGGCGGCACAGAAGGAGATGCTGCTCGATTTGAATTTGTACAAGATGGTAATGAATTGTGCAGCAAGATTGGGCGATGTTGATGAGTCCACTGTTGCCAATGTATGATAAAAATCTCTCAGATTCCGGAGCATGATGTTTATGTTTCATGCTGAAGAGTTTTTGCGCCTCTCGGGAGAATTAAGGAAGCTTTAGAATTGATCGAGACCTAAGGTAAGGAGGTATCAATTGACGACGACTATTTAAGACTTTGTGGAAGGACTGTGTAGGGCTGGTAGGATTTCAGATGCTTTGGAGATCGTCGACATTATGAAGAGAAGAGATTGGTTGATGGTGTATATATACACATATGTACGAATCTTTTTAAGACCCCAGTATTTTAAAAAATAACGAATCAAACCCTTAAGTGTACAAAATAAAAACTTGTAGATAAGATTGCCTCGTAAACAACATAAAAGATTGACCTATATATACGAATAATACTACATATACATCATTTTCATACAAAATTTCTCATACAATACTATGCGGTAAGATGTGATTGGGTGAAAGTTTGATTTTAACTTTAAATTAGTCAATCATATATTGCCACGTCTTGTTGTATGAAAATTACGTATGTGTAATATTACTTATATATTTTCTACTATCAATATGCAGTTTTAATATTTACTTATATTATTATCATTGGGGAAATTATGATAATAATTTTGCTAATAATTGAATTTATTCAAATTAAAAACAAGATTTTAACTTCTTTTTTTCACCTTAGCTCTCACTTTCTCTCTTCCACCAACTCTAAGTTATTAGTAGAAGATAAAATGGCTCCAAAAAAATTTATAATACAAACTTTATTTACAATAAATTAAGTCTTTCTTCTTATTCAACATTCCATGACCACGATACGTGGATGACAATAATCCCTCTCTTTGATATTTAAACAAAAAATGAAACATGATGAGGGCTTTCTTTTTTCCTTCTTATGATAGTTTATTAAAATCGATAGTCATACTAATATATGATTATTGATGAATTATAATTATTAATATGATATATTTGCACTAATAGAATAATATAATATATCTGTTGTTGCATGTAAAGACAATATCCAATTATTCAACGTCACATATTTTTATGTGGTAGCTCTTTTAAAACTACTTATCATATTGGTGATTCTTGGTAAAAAAAATTAGTATCATATTTATGAATAGGGGGCATTTTGTTATTTTTTAAACTTAAGGGACTTATTAAAACACCGTTTAAACTAAATATAAAGTGGGGAAGGATATCATCACGTGGTTAGCGATCGTGACAGACGCTGCTGTGTTTGTAAAATTTTGAAACGTGGCACGTTGTGGCGGTGATATGCAATACTTCAACTCGAACAACTTCCCCAACAACACATCTCTTTACGAAATACTGGGCTGAGCCTGGGCCAGCCCAATTGTAATATATTGAGGATAAAATAGACCCAACTATTTATAAAATTAAATATTAAATTTTATTCAAAATTAAAGTATAACATATGTAAATTAGTTAAAGATATTAATTCGCCCTAGGTTTTATTCAATAAAAAAAATCCTCATGATATTTTTAAATAACGTAAATCCTTCAACCGTTAAGTTTAGAAATTAAAATAAACAGTGTAAAAAAACAATTCGATAAACATATATAAACTTATAATAATGTATATTCTAATAACTCATTAACAATCTACTACCGGTAAAGAGATTTTATTATTTTACTAAACCTTCATATATAATAATGTAAGGTTAATTTGCACAAAGAAGTTCGTATAAAATATTTGTAATACATTAAATAAATTAATATAACTAATGATTAAATGAATATAATAAGTAAACTCTCCCTTCAAGTTGGTTAATAATTGTTGTGGCGGCAATGGCCGTTGGTTCATAAATAGCGGGTAAATGAAGTTTTAATGCATTGAAAAATCACCAAACCATGGTGTACTTAGCCAGATTCAAATTCTTGTATTCAAACTCAAGCTGTAAACTGAGAAAATCTGAACTCTGTAGAGTTTGGATTTCTCGTCTGTCAACCTTTTCCAAATCATCTAAACCTTCTCAAACTAAAAATGCCCAGCATCACCCTCCAAAGGGCCAAACAGAGAAAATTTCTTCCCTTTTTAACGAAATAACTGAAATTTTAGGGGCTGATAATGTTGTGCCAGATGAAACCCCATTTGGGCTTTCGATATCACGAGAAACGGAGGAGAAAGCAAGCAGGGTTAGCGAAAATTTTGATTCTTGCTTACCAAGTGTTTGTGGAAATGCCCAAGAGGAGAAATTTTCGGTATTGGGAGATACCCAGATGGGGAATTTGAGTGAAATTGATGTCAGTCCTGTGGTTCATGAGATAACAGAGATTGTTAGGGCTGAAAAGTGTGTTGTTTCGCTGGAGGAGAGGTTGGGGAAATTGGGTTTTCGGTTTGATCCTAAGGTTGTTGAGAAGGTTTTGAAACGATGCTTTAAAGTGCCGCATTTGGCTTTAAGGTTTTTCAATTGGGTGAAGGTAAGAGAAGGGTTTCATCATACGAGTGAGATTTATAATACCATGTTGTCGATAGCTGGCGAAGCGAAAGAGTTTGGGCTGATGGAGGAGTTGGTGAAAGAAATGGAGATGAACTCGTGTGAGAAGAGTATCAAGACTTGGACAATTCTTGTATCGCAGTATGGAAAGGCGAAGCTGATAGGGAAAGCTTTATTAGTCTTTGATAATATGAAGAAATGCGGCTTTGAACCTGATGTGTCAGCTTACAAGATAATGATACGATCGCTTTGTGATGCCGGAAAAGGGGACATAGCTTTGGAGTTCTATAAAGAGGCGGCACAGAAGGAGATGCTGCTCAATTTGAATTTGTACAAGATGGTAATGAATTGTGCTGCAAGATTGGGAGATGTTGATGCAGTCCACTCTGTTGCCAATGATATGATAAAAATCTCTCAGATTCCGGAGCATGATGTTTATGTTCATATGCTGAAGAGTTTTTGCGCCTCTGGGAGAATTAAGGAAGCTTTAGAATTGATTCAGGACCTCAAGAGTAAGGAGGTATCAATTGACGACGACTATTTCAAGACTTTGGTGGAAGGACTGTGTAGGGCTGGTAGGATTTCAGATGCTTTGGAGATCGTCGACATTATGAAGAAAAGAGATTTGGTTGATGGGAAGGTCTACGGGTTCATTATTAGTGGACACTTGAGGAAAAATGATCTTTCTAAAGCTCTCGTTCTGTTTCAAGAAATGAAAGAATCTGATTATCTGCCTCTGGCTTCTACCTATACAGAGCTAATGCAAAGCCTCTTCAAGTTAAATGAGTATCAGAAAGGCTGTGAACTATACGATGAGATGCTGCACGGAGGAGTCCAGCCAGATAGCGTGGCAATCACCGCTATGGTTGCAGGTCATGTTCGCCAAAATCATATATCCGAAGCTTGGAAAGCGTTCGAGAGCATGAAAGATTACGGTATCAGACCCACTTGGAAGTCTTATTCAGTGTTTATCAAGGAGCTTTGTAGAGTTTCCAGGACCGATGAGATTTTTAAGGTTTTGAATAAAATGCAGGATTCCAAAATAGCAATTGGGGATGAAATATTTCATTGGGTTACATCTTGTATGGAGAAAAGGGGAGAGATGGATAATGTCGAAAAAGTCAAGCAGCTCCAAAGAATCTCTAAACTTCACTCTCAAGGTGAATTCTCTAGTAATGAAACTTGCAGGAGACAAGAACTCCACGTGGAGTTGAACCATAACCAAATAGAGCAAGAGAAGATGAATTCTGTCTTGGTGAAGCCACCTTCAAAGGCTTACGGTGAGCAGGATTTGAAAGAAATTTGTAAGATCTTATCATCCTCCACGAACTGGTGCTTCGTTCAAGAAGCTTTAGAGAAATGCGCTATCCAGTTTACACCAGAACTTGTTCTGGAGATTTTGCGCAAATGTGAAACGAATGGTAACACAGCTCTGCAATTTTTCTCATGGGTAGGTAAACAAGCTGGTTATCACCACAGTACAGAAACTTACAACTTGGCGATCAAGATTGCAGGACGTGGGAAAGATTTTAAGCACATGAGGAACCTCTTTTTCGAGATGAGAAGAAAACGTTACATAATCTCGCCAGATACATGGACAATCATGATAATGCAATATGGTCGAGCAGGTCTAACAGAGATTGCTCTGAGGGTTTTTGGGGAGATGAAAGGTAATGGCTGCAATCCAACAGGTAGTACCTACAAGTATTTAGTCATATTGCTTTGTGGGAGAAAAGGTAGGAAGGTAGATGACGCTGTAAAAATATTTCAGGAGATGATTCATGCAGGATATATCCCAGATAAGGAATTGATTGAAACATACCTTGGTTGTTTAAGTGAAGTAAGTAAGCTGCAGGCAGCTAGAAGTTGCATCGATTCACTCTGCAAAGTTGGTTTCACTCGCCCTCTAAGTTACTCCTTGTATGTTCGAGCTCTTTGTCGAGCAGGAAGATTGGAAGAAGCCTTAGCATTGCTTGATGAGGTTGAAGAAGATCGACCTAAACTGGATCAGTACATCTATGGCAGCGTTGTTCATGGACTATTGCGAAGGGGACAAACAGAAGAGGCATTGGCAAAGGTGGAGTCGATGAAGCAGGTAGGCGTTTATCCAACTGTCCATGTTTATACATCCTTAATAGTCCATTTTTTCAAAGAAAAACAAATAGAAAGAGCTTTAGAAACTTTTGCCGAAATGCAAGAACAGGGTTGTGAGCCAACAGTCGTCACTTATTCTGCATTGATTCGAGGATACGTGAACGTGGGTAAGGTTATTGAAGCTTGGAATGTCTTTAACCATATGAAAACGAAAGGACCTTACCCTGATTTTAAGACTTATTCGATGTTCATAAGTTGTCTGTGTAAGGTAGGGAAATCTGAAAAAGCCCTGCAGCTTATATCAGAAATGTTAGACAGTGGAATTGTTCCTAGTAATATTAATTTTCGAACAATATTTTTCGGGCTTAACAGGGAGGGTAAGCAAGATTTAGCTCGTTCTGTATTACACAAAAAGTCTGCTTTAATACGTAGCCGAAAGTTCTTAAACTGAATTGTGTTTGTTTGGGATAATATTTGTTTTGATGACCTATATTCTTGGCTTATACTTTAGTAAAGACAATATACATAAAATCTTATACCCATTTCTCTGTTGTCATCGCTTCTTAATACACCATTTTCGTGAAATCAAAGTAGACAATATCTACTGGGAACTGTACTTATGAATCTGAATGAGAATGTCAAACAATATCTACTCGATCAGGCTGAAAAACTTGGACATCACTCAATAAAATATCTTACAAGCAGTAACTCTAACATGGAATAATATTTCATAAAATAAACAAAAGAATCTCATTTAGTAGTCCATGCATTTATTTCTGGCCAAAAAAGCCCAGGAAATACTAAGATAAATGTGTCAGACTCACATACGTGAACACTTATAATTCAATTTTTTTTTTTCAAAAAAGAAAATGTAGCTCAGATCATTAAATTACAAAAATTAAAAAAGAGCTAATGTGACAATAGGTACCACAGTGATCTCAACTTTCCTATTCAGATTCTTTCATCTGTGTTTACTTCAGTAGCAACTAGGCCATCCATCAAATTCAGAAATTTCACCTACAAAAGGGGCAGAAAAAGGAGTAAACTATAGTTTTGTTTAACTAGCAGAGATTAAATGTGTAATAAGCACTAATAGAAATAAGCTGACATGAAAAATCCAAACATTACAAGTTTTGCACTAAGAAGAGGAAAAATAAATACCCACATCTAATGTGAAGTCATCTGCATCAGATCTTGAAGTTAACTGTTGTCGACTCCATAAGGAATTGCTGATTACGGCAGCAAAAATAAGGATTAAATCATCAAAACCTTGAAAACAGTTTAGATAACAATTTTGTCAGAAATTTTATTATCATTATTATTACTCACTTAGTTACTAAGAACTTAGATTCCAAATGGTTTAATAATGACAAAGTAAGATCTGTACTTCTCAAATTGTCATGTAAAACTCGCAGTTGCAGATATAGATCTCCCTAACCTAATATTTATACTTTGTCACACTTTTAATTCTTAGAAATAAATTTTTGCTTTCTAGAAGGTCACTGTTAGAGTACTAGCAAAGACGAATGATCATTACCTCTAGAAGTATACCTAAGTTAAGATCAATAACATTAATGTACATGTGCATATTTGTCATATTCGACAACAAAAAAACCTTTGTCAACAAAAACACTTGATAATATCTTTTCTTATTATTTATTCTTTTTCTCTCATTTGTAAACAATAATATTTGTAGCCCCTCTAGCCAATATATTAAATGCTTGGATGGAATACCTGCATTAAAGCTTCTTTGCAATTTCTTCATTTACACGACTATAGTAAGTCATTCTTCGGATACATATTAGCGCATCGTCAAATTTATGATTTTGAAATGCATTGGCAAAGGAGTTTGACCAATGCATCAACTTCTCTTGCATCTGACCAAACAAGGAAAATTAAAGAAATTAAAAACAAAATGTAATAAACAATAATAGTAGTTACATCAAATAAGTCTGCACATTTCTGCTGAAGTGGCACTAAAATTTAGTAAACATCGACGCTTTTCTTCTATAAACTGTCCGCAGGCAGAGTTGCAAAAGATATAGCCCACTAATTGTAGGCCGTGTTCCTACACAACCATCCTGTTCAAGGTCCTTGATCAGGCAATTATCTTCCATACTTTCAACAGTCTACAGAATGTGATTTCAGAAATGCAGACCATGGAATAGATGATTGTCTAGCTCGGTCTCATCAGTGCTCACTTCAGCCAACACTCAGCATGCAATATATGCATATGAAAATTTTGATCCAACACTCTGAACAAACTAGTCTACCCTCACAAAACAAATCTATAGATCAAGAGCTGTATCATACCGTAGACTTTATTTGATTTAAAGCCTGCGAATCAGTTGCATCTTCTACAGCTTCCCTGATTTCCATAATCTGTAGTTAAATCAGAAACCGCCATTAAATATTTTTAATTAAGAAAAAAAGAAAAGAGATTCAACATAAGGTTCAAGAAGCCAAAAAATTTCCTCGCCATTTTTATCAGAAGCATCAGATATTTATCAACAAATCGAATGAGAAGGAAGAGCAGCAAGAAAGTGCAAAACGCTCCTCCCCATATTTCTATACATCCTAACAATCCTTCTACTTGTAAAAGACAAAAAGATTTTTCTGAAGGGAACTCCAGATAGAACTATAAAGAGTTGAAGCTTCACATTTATATCAAACAAGGCACCAACACATACCTCAGTGAGCAACTCTGGTTCAGAAACTGTCTCTTCTTCATTAACATCTACACCTTCAAGCCTCATCTGTAAAGCAAATTGTAAAATTTTTAATTTCATTAGCGATTATATATATATAAGACAAAAGAAGCATTGATGAGAAGCATAAAGAAGGTCTTCTTTCATATCTATGGAACTAAATGAATAATTTAAATCACAAGGACCATAAACCAGATACATCAATAGCTTCTCAACAACAATATACTAAATCCACAAAGATTCAATTGTCCTCTGGTGAGGAGTACACTAATCTATAGCTAATGCACACTCAAGTCTTGGTTTCTCTTGTAATCATACTAATATTCGCTTCACTACATGTATCTGCTAATTATTTTTAAAAAAGTGCAAAATATTTTACATATTAAACTAGAAAGCCCTGATAATTTTCCGAGTGTAATAAAATTGACAAGAAATTCATCCTAATGATTCTTAAAGTAAATCTTACAATGTATATTGCCCGAGACAATGGATTCCTAAGTGTGCGGTAGGCTTCAATCACGCAAGCAGACTGTTCAGCAGCATACTCTTTCTCCCTCTAGCAAACAGAAGAACATATTAACACAAAATCATAAGATATCAAACAACACATTTTTTTTTTTCAAGAATTTCACAAGTATTGGAACAGACCTCAGATTTTGAATGAACTAGATCAGGATGTAGCTTTTTCTGCCAGTCTTTGTACTTTCCCTCCAGACTCCCATCCTCTATTTCATACTTTTTCCCCCTGTTATGAATTAACCGAAAAATAATTGTGTTTATGGACTTCAAAATAAAAGTACAGAAACCATAACAACCTCAACTTAACTGCCTATAATATACAGCCCACTACTAAAAATTGATATTACTGGTACACTAATTTTGAAACTAACTTTTCGGTCCAGTTGGGAGAAACAGAGCTAATGAAGCTGAGAGAAGCTACAGACTTTACATAGTTTGAATGCTTAAGTGAAAATGAAAATAGAAAGAAGAGAAGATAGATTCTATAATTACCCTCAGAACTTTTACAACTTGAAGGGTATTAACGCCACAAAATATGGCTTGTTAATGTTACAAATGTAAAGTTCGGGGAAGAAAGTATCACGATTCACAATTGCAAAAATTTAATAACTTGTGATTATACATTAATGTAACTTGTAAACATTACACGTGTTTCGTTCTTTTAACCATCTTCCATATAGTAGCTGAAAAATCTTCAGTGAAACATAAAGATAACCTTTTAGTCTGTCGAGCCAATTTCATTTTCCAAGGGAAAGTAAAATAATGAAAAAAATTTCCATCGTTGTCAAATTCTCATATCCCTATATTTATCAGTTCCCTTAGCTTCTTTCGTTATCCAAACTAGAAATCAAAAATTAACTCTCCTTGCTTATACTCTCAAATACAATAAACAATGAGACAATAGAACTCATTTCTTAGGTCCATAATTGCACTAATCTTTCGAGCAATCAATTTTAGTTCCATTTAGTTCAAATTTCATTTACACAAATCTTTCTCGCAATCAATCAAAGGTAAATTTCAAATTTCATTTTTCTTTTTCTTTCCTAAACTTTCTCGCGAACCAAACAGTAATTCAGCAATTACTAAAAGAAAAAGGGTAATAGCAACAGAAAATATATATATATATATATATATAGAAAATAACCAAGAAAAAACTTAAACTTGAAATTTAAATACTCACAATCCAAATATTTGAAAATAATTCACCGACTGATCAACAGGCTGAACACTCCGACAGGACTCACAAAACAAAAACGGCGACGTTTCAGGCACCGCATTGCAGTTCCAGCACGTGACGTTGTGAACTCTATCGGCGGATTCCGAGCAGAAGGTTTCGGACCAAAATGTAAGGTTTGCACCAGAACGGCACCGTTCGTACGGACGAGAGAAAGAAGATGAATTGAGGAAGCGATTCCATGAGGTTGAAGTGTAATTGTAATTTGAAAGCTCAAAACGACACGTCGTACGAAGCGCTTGGCGGACAACGCCGGAGAGAGGCTTCCAAAGCTTCTCTGTTCTATTCATCTTTCCGTTTGCTTTCCTGAATATGAAATATTTTAAATTAATCGGGGACTATTTATACTGTGGTGTGATATTAGTCCCGTGGCGTGATATTTTAATTTAAATGTTTTTTCGGTTAAATTTTTAACTTTTAAAATTAAAATCGAGTTTATTGCGATTTTCTCCCGGAATTTTAACTAAATAATTTTTTTTCTCGAATACTTGAAATAACAATTTATTCTCTAGTGTCAATGTGCTACTTTTTTCTTTAAATCTATTTATAGTAATATTTTATATAAAAATAACTTTTATATAATTATAAAATACTTTAGTCCTAATTCGAAAAAGATATAAATAAGAATAAATTTTACATTGTAATAAGTTATAATTTTTTTCTAATTACCGTCTTAAGAAAGTAGTCTCCACATAGTAATAATTATTTGTATATTACCAAAAAATATATACTATGTTACAACATTAAAGATTTATGATAAAATAAAATATTTATCTAAAGTTATTTGGGATAATAATTTATGCTTTAGAGTTGTTATCGCATCTTTTAATTTACGGGTGCATATTAACTCGTTAGCATAGATACCTTCTTGTTGAAACTAAAATATTTCTATCTTTTCAAGCATGTTTAGAGTTTCTTGATACGAAACTTTTTATATTTAGATACTATTATTCTCAAGACTATTTTATTTCTCTTCTTATCTAATTATAACAAAGACTACTAAAATAATTATTGAAATCCTTATACATACTACTAAAACGTGAATTATAAAATAATAAATGAAAACAGTAATTTTCTTAACTATATCTCTATTAAATTATAATTTTTTTATGATAATAAATTAATTTGATCACACATATATGATCATAGAAAAGTTTTACTGTATTACCATTTATTTATTATTCCGATATATTAAATTTAAACCTTATTGTCGGGTTTTTGTCATATTACGAACGCATATTATTATTGATCATTGATCCGTACTTAAACATCGTTATCAAAATATTGATGGATGAGCATGGTAAATTGTTATTTTAGATACGAGAAGGGAAAAATTAGTATTAAGTAAAATCTCGGAGAAAAAATTCATTAAACTCTAGTAATAATTAAAAACTTTTTTTAATAGAAAAAATTAAGAATTAAGAAAAAATATTTATTTTTTTGGTTTTTCTGATTTTACACACTATTGTTTAGGATTTTATTTTAAAAATTATTTTTGAAACATTTTCAATTTTATTTCAACTGAGCACTTTTTCATTAAAAAAATTATTCCTTTATTGTTTTTAAATAAAAAGCTTTATTTAAATTCTATACTGAGCATGCCTTTAAAAATTTGGATTAGTTAACTACCTCTGGGTGATCAAATGGTTTGATAGAAACTCTTGGATGTATTATTCAAGAGGTTCTGAATCAAGTCCCATCTATTGCTATAGGGATAGCCATTGGGGTTTTTACCTGACCGATAATTCTAAGATCCTGGGGAATAGGAATTAGTTGAGATACGTCTAAACTGACCCGCACACCCAATCATCTAAAAAAAAAAAAAAAATGAGTTAGTTTTAAATTCAAACTCTCTATTAAAATCTTTTCTTTTTTTTTTTTTTTTTTTTTTTCTTTTTTGTTACTTTAGACTTAAAAGAGTCGGACAAAATAGGATATATGATTAAAAGTTTAGATTTATTATTATTAATTCTTAACGAATAAGATACTAATAAGGTGTAAAATGCGATTATTGTAAAGTTACACATTACTAGTATAATATTAAATTTTATCAAAAATAAAATAAAATAATTTCAATAACATTTACTGATTTTAGAAAGTATCATAACCATCATGGCAGAGTAGAGTTAATTGCTCAATTTTGAAGAAAAATTGTAACAATTTTCATATAAAATCATTTCCTGAAGTACAAATTTATTCTACTAAGAAAAAAAAATATAAATATAAATATAAATATAAATACAAACACATCCCCGAATGGGGTGACAAAAAGGCTTCAGAGAAATGTATAAAACAAAGTGTAGTCTGAAAGCAAGATTTTGTGTAACATGTTACAGATTCATTCTCAGGTATCTGCAGTCATTTATTGATGCTGAAAAGCTTCTTCTTCTAAGTCATAAATTAAGCAGAATTCAAGGGGAAGAAGCAACAGATCCAATGCTTTTTTCGCCGGCTTAATTTCTTCTTTTCATTGATATAGTTTTCATGGATGACATTTGCTTCTGTGTTTGGTTGCTTATTATTAGCATGCATGGTTTGGTCTGAAACAGGTGTTGTTACCATAGTCCCATTCTGGGAGGAACTCAAAGAAACCTGGTTGGTCTCACCCAGATTTGGAAGATCATCTTCTGGTGATGCTGGCGCTATCCTATTATGGTTCACTTCCCTTAAGTAAGAATTTGATCCGGCTTGCCTGCAAAGAATGATCAAACCAGTGTTAGTTCATTGTTATACATTCGCTTATGTCTAACCAGGGAAACTGATACTGAAATGTACCTGTCATCTTGAATTCCAGAGCTATTTCTCGATTCATTACCAGTTTTCTCTACTGTTTCTTTTTTGGATACCTCAACTTTTGTACAGACTTCATCTTCTGAAGAATTTGTGTCTTTATTGTCACCCTTTTCCGTGTTAGGAGGCTTTTTATTGGTAAGAAGAAGGGATGGACTGCTTTGGCCATTAAACCCATGTTCACGAACAATATGTATGGCCTTCTCTAATGTTTGTAGAGCTTGTTGCACACGAGGACTGATAGAAACATTTGTTTTGACATTCACATGACAATTTTCTGGGATCTTATCGGCAAAGGATTGATCCATATCTTTGTCACTCTCCTCTAAGTACGTGCTTTCCTCGCTTTCTTCTTCCTCTATCTCATTGACAGCTTTTCTCTCTGTAACTTGTGCATCATTGGGCAAAGATTCACTGGCATGGTTCACGTTATGAGCATTCTGTTCAACATCACTCAGGCCATCCTGCATACCTCCAATAAGATGTTCTTCCGGCATAATACAGGAATCATGCCTGAGCTCCTTTTCTCTCAGAGACTCATCAATCTCAACAACAAGCTTTTTATCTGTAACTAATGCATTGTTTGGCGAAGATTCACAGGCATGGTTAATGCTAATAACATTCTGTTCAGCATCACTTGGGCCATCTTGCATGTCTTCTATCAGATTTTCTTCAGGCAGAATAGATGTATCATTCTTTGGCTCTTCAGTTTTCCAAGTTTCCTTGGACTCCTTCCTGGAATAAAGAACTTCACGTATTCGGGCATAAAGTGGCTCCTTCAAGGCCTTGCTGTACTCTTCACTATCACTAAATGCAGAAGCCACTGCCTGAAATAAAGTTAAAAAGCTGAATTAGCTGGTAACATACAGTAGCATGACACATAGCAAACAAGATGACCACGTGCTCAAGGATAAAACATTGCTGAAGAAATTGAATTACCTTTTGATAGAGCCTGAAACCACTTCCGATGAGCTGCCTTGAAATAAAATTTATGAGGGAAGGAGGGACAAAGTCAACCTTCACATCCATACGTGCTATTGTCCTACAAAAATTGGCAGAATTCAAAATTTTGTGACAAAAGAGCACCAAAAACAGAACATTGTTGCGCGGTAACAGTTATTTTTCTTTTTCTCCTTTGGTGCCTTTCCTATTAGCAATTACAAGCAATCTACCAGCTTAACTATGATTTTGTTTCATTTTAAGCACAAAGAAACTACATGATTCACCTTCATTTTATCTCATTATTCATGGAAACTTCAATGATTAGTTTTTGTCTTCTGCTCCATATAGATTATCAAGCAACGCAAAGTTTGGTTTTATGTGGCCTTAACTATGTCCTTTGGTATTTTTCTCCATCGGAAAAAAAATGACGCAGCTCAACCCATTCTCATAGGCGGCCACAGAGGTAGTATAGCCAATTTATATTACCAATTAAAGACGAACTCACCTAAAGTAGCTTCTTTCCTGGGTCACCTTTTGTATAGCAACGCCTCCCACCACCTCAATCCTTACCACATCTTTTGCTTCAGGAATTCCATCATTAGTGAACCCATGAGTATTTTTATCAATGCTCTTCACATCATCAATCTGAAAGTAAAATGATAACAAAATTCTTTTGTTTAGCCATCAGTCCGAAAGTACTCGGGTTTCTGGACACAGGTAGAAAAAATATAGAGAATCTGATGAAAATAAATTCCAACATTTAAATGCATACCGTGTTAAATAGAAGAACAATGAGATCATCTTGAAAATACTCAAACATAAAATAGTGCACAATAGCCTCTCTGGCAGACAGCGGCCAAGTAACCTTCATTCTTTCTTCCGAAAACATAAGGAAAAATCAGCATCTTTAAGTTACAGAATTAAGGGAAATTAAAGGAATCAAGTAAGAAAATTTCAAACAACTGCTGCGTTTTTATGATGGACAAACCTCACTAAAGATATCTGCTCACAAATCCGGACCTTTTGCAAACATTGTAAAGCAGTGATTTTGAACGTCGGAAAATTATACTGAGGCCACCTGGTAGAAAGTAAGGAATTAGAGAAGAGAAAATTATATTCCAATTACAATCCACATCAAAGGTTCTCACAGAAACCATCTTAATTTCAACTATATAAATCTTATTAGCTCTTAACCTTTCTTGGTTGCAAGTATAGGCAAAACTGATAAGCCCTTTAAGCTAACATTGTTCTAATTTTGGATGCAAGAGTAGATATATTCCTCCACAGAAGACGTGTGAGAAGAATAAGACAAATATCAAAAGAAACAACTTTTCATTTTGACATCATTTTCCATAGCCAACAAACTTTTCACAGAGGAGGACTGGGAGGACTCGGAATAGAAATAAGTTCACATCACAGCGCATGGCTGAATATCAAGCACATGCACGACAAATACTAGACTAGCTCACTCAAGACAAAGATAATGGTGAAATTCAGCAAAACAATTCCAGAGTTAACAGATTCATACTTTCTGAAGTCCAGAAAATTGATAACACCATAAAGAAATATTAGTATCATAAGATGATACACCTGGAACTCTTGGTTATGCCAATAAGAAAAGTCTTGGAAGAAAAAAGGTCGATTGTGCTCATAGATGAGCCTGACAAACAATAAATGAACCATAAGCACAAGTTTTTTGAAATCAGGGAGGAAGAAAAAGAATACAAAATTTTAAACAAGTATAGATGTTTTAACTATATTTTTCTTGGAAAAGAAAAGTGTCAGTATTATTCACATACTACATCAACTAATACTCAGTATTCCCTATACATAAAAAAGATATTATGAAAAGGGAAAATATCAACAATGATGGAAACAAGTCTCACCATTTCCTGTAGAGGGTTGACTCCCAAGAGACACATAAACCTGCATTGAGGTACAGAAGTTAAATAAAAACTACCAATAATGAATAAAAAAGTGATTTGTGCGGTTTTTTTCTCATCATTGTAGTATTCTATGATGAAGCTTGAAATTCTCTTAAGTATTTCAGTGAAACTCACAAGCATCTACGGGCCCCTCTACATAGCCTTCAACAAGTAATGAATGAAGAGGAGTGCCCTCAGGTCCTTCACGATACATAACACGGAACTCTTCATTATCCTGTTTTAACTGTCAGAAACCGCAGGCATCAACTATGTCAATATATATAGAAGCCATTTTGGAAAATATTTGTCAGTTGATTTAACTACCAATAATCATGATCAAAGAGAAAACACACAAGAATTTAAAAACCTCAAAAAAGGAAAATAAAGTACAATGGTCCTCTGACACATGATGTCCAACAGAACAATTGAACACAATCAACAAGGTGATGATATTGCTCATCTGCCATGATTTCTCTCTTTCAAGATAAAAAAGAATTTTAAGGATATAAAAAAGGTAAATTTTCCAGCATTCCAGCTGAGTGAGCTTACTTTCCATTCACGATGTGATCCCTCGCTAGCTTTTGAAACCCCATCATCATCTACAGAAGCACTCCTCAACATGTCAAGAAACTTGGAAACTTCCACCGTCTTCCTCTGTACTACACTTTCACTACATTCTGCCCAACCCAAAGTTATGAATTACAAACTATTATTCGCTCAGATTACAAAACAGTTCACCAATACCTTACATCAACTATACTTACAAGGATTCACACAAAGTTTGAATAGATACTAACCTCCAAATCCATCACCGGAAGAATTTAGCTGATTTTTCACTAGATTTCTAAGGGTCTCCTCATTCGTCAATTCAGGAGATGCCAATGTCCTGTCAAGCCTCTCTCTATACTGAGAAATTTTTCCCTCCTTTCCCATCTTAGTATCGCCAAGAAAATCACAAAGACTTCACATTGTATACCGCATATTCATTTTGCTCCAATCCCCCCTAAAGTTTCAATCACATAACAACGTTCAGATTCTCTAAGAAACATAAAGTCAACCCTATATACTATTTCTCTTAACATTAAAAATACCAAAAAAAAAAAAAAAATTATGAACTCATTTGTCTTCAGCAATAAATACCTGCAAATTTACCAGAAATAGCAAAGCAGCAAGTGAATGGAAAAATTATCATCAAAATCCGTTTCTCCTGATTGAGACAAGTTTAATAGTTTAGTACGATCTTTAAGATTCTATGCATGAATAAATAGTCAAATTCAGCTACATAAAAAGCATTAAATTTTCAAACTTCATAAGTTCAAATACCATAAAATTTCTCATTCAACTTTCCCAGCATAAAATAACATAAAAAAAAAAAAAAACGCAATCAAAATTAAAAACCCAGAACGAAAATGAAAAAGTTTATGAAAAATCAACTCACCAGAAGCTCTTGGTAAGACAAACCCAGCTGGAGTTATGGAATTCTGAAGCCAACCCAGAATAAAAAATCAGAAATTGTTGCAACCTATATGCAGATCTCGATATAATTTAGTGAAAATCACAACCAGAAATGAACGTGAACATGAACTCTCTTCTTGGACTTAACCAATTCCAGACATAAAACAGAATCAGAATCACCAAAAAAGAGTTATTTAACTTAACCAATAAAAAACTTTTATTTATTTATTTTGTTTATTTAATAAAACCATGGAATGGTTGCCGGTAACTTTAACTGTATTAAGTATCCCTTTTTCTTTTTCTTTTTTTTTCTGTGGAATATTATATTATAAAATGGGAGACTTTCCTATATGTTAGGATTTGTAATCCAAAGCCTAAGATCTGGTCCAATAATTAAGACATTATTACAATACTGGATCCCTAATGTTATCAAAACATTTTTATCGTGATTAAAAGTGTTTAAAGGTAATGTAATATTCTATTAAAACATTAAAAAAATGAGAAAATAACACCTCATTCCAATTTCCAGGTGAGTTTGACTCCAAGGGTTGATGTCTAGAAAAACAGGTGTGTTTGTTTTATTATCTTGAATAGTATTTTTTAAATATTATTGGGAAGTAGAGTTATTATTATAGGTAGAATTTAAATTTTTCATAAAATGACAAAAACAACCCCACCTACCCACTGTGGCTAGATTTCGACCATCACTGCTGGAATCTAGCATAATGGCACACGACCGATTAGATTTGGCCAATAGTTCGTCGATCTGGCCAGATCTGACTGTCATTGACAGTCAACGATGGCCAACTCTTAGCCATTGTTGACGTCAACGATGACCAACTCTTAGCCATTGTTGATGTCAACGATGGCCGTTGACTGCCAAATCTAGCATTTTTTTGCCAGATCCATCGTGGATCTGGCCGAAAAATGTCAAATCGGCATATTATTGGCTAGTTCCAGTTGGTAGTGCGCTGTTGTGACATATTCCGACTACTATCAACGGTGATTGCCAGAATCTGGCAACTATGGGTGGGTGGGGGTGTTTTTGTTTATTTATAAAAAAAAAATTATTGGGGGTGTTTTTGTTTATTTATAAAAAAAAAAATTATTGGGGGTGTTTCGTCAATTAACAAACTTAAGGGGTTTAAAATAGCTTCTTAATTTAGAATATGATTTTGAAAATAAACATTTATATTTGGAATAATGATAGGATATTGGTGAAATAATTAAACAAATGCAACCATTTTATGACAATAAGCATTTATTGATTCAATTAAGTTGATAGAAACAACTTAATTGAATTTATTGATGAGTAAGCTACTTTTTTCCACCTAAATAATGATTTAATGAATTTTTTTACCTACAACTTTTAAAGTACTATTTTATACTAAATTTAATTCCAACCGTGAATAGAGAGTAAAATGATATAGACTGTTAAACTTTTGAACAGGGAGGGTGATGGTCTTTTGGTAGTGAAAAATTAGATTTTGGTGATTGAAATTCATCGAAATTTGACTTAGGAGGGACCTATACAAACCCTAATTGCTCGTTCTTGGCGTTTAGTGGAGTCGAAGAAAATAGAGTTTGAGGAGTTTTGGTGAATGGTGATCAAGGAAGAGAATAGTTTGTGATGTGGGATCGCAATGATGTCAGATCAGAAAACAGAATATAAATTTAGGTATTAAAATGATTTTTAAAGTTGTGGGTTAGAAAGTGTCATTAAACTATTTTTGAGTGAAAAAAAAAAAATCCTTTGCTTTTTATTGATACCACAAAGTTGATGAAACAAGTTAATTGAAAACCATAATAATCTAGTAACATTTCTTGATGATATTTAGTTATAATAGTAAAAAAAAAATTATGCTATATAACAAATTTTTGTAATCATAAAATGTAAATAACAAAATTTCGATCTAACAACATTATCGAACGAAAATATGTTGCTCACATCTTAACATAGTAAAAAATATTGACTTTAATAATATATATAACTAAGATGCCAGCTCAATTACATTATCAACAGTAAAAAATTCTTTGAAATCCTAGGGTAACGGTTTTGATATAGTACTACTATGTTAACACTTTCTAACCTTACAATCCCTAGTATTGAAGGCAAGTTAATAAGTGGGGGTGGGAGACAGGGTTAAATTAGATTGAGTGCGGAGAAAAGAGAAAGGAAAAGAGGAAACTTTTGCCTTTTGGGACATGACATGGCGACTATTAATGTTACATTGCTTGTTGGTTGCGTAGAGCTTTGGTTATGTCGCGTTGTCTTTAAGCCGTATTTATGCGATGCTACATTCTTGCTCACGTTCCCACTCACGGAACGTGAAACACGCTCATTTTGATCATTCTCTCTTCTTTTAGAAACTTAAATTCTCATTTAATGGCGCATTTATTTATTTAAACTACATTTTCTTCTAACTCTTTAATTTAGAGCATGTTTGGTTGACTTTTCACTGGCCAATTTTTTTTTTTTTATCTATAGCACTTCGAAGTTTTTAAATTTTTTTGGTTGCATTTAAAAATGTTTATACAATTATAAAAAAAAAAAAAAAAACTATTTTATGACTTCTAGCTCTCCCATAAACTCTTTTTGGGCTTTTCTAAAACTTTTCTATGTCAAATATTTACATTATTGTTATCATTTCCCCATATATCTTTCCTTTGAAATAAAACTCTATTATTATATTATTATTATTTAATCTAGTAAAAAAACTCACCACTTTCATCTAAGATCGAATTCACAATAATTTTATAGGTATGCAAACTGCAAAGTCTTACCAATACTTTTAATATTTAAATGATATTTTTTTTTGGTATATATATAAGTTTGGTAATATGTGAAAAAAATAAAAAAAATTTGTTTCATTACATAGGTTTTCAATACTTGAGACTGCAAATTTTATGTTGTTTTTATTATTTAATTAAAAAATTAGTTAAGACCATTAAAACCTCGAAGTTAACATTATTTAAATGTAATAATATTGAGACAAATTACTATGTCTTTTTGTTTTTGTTTTTATGTATCGGGGATGTTCAAGCCAGTTTGAACGCATTTAATTAATCCATTGAATTTAAATTACAACCGTGAAATTCTCTATTAATTACCTTTATTAGCAACTTAGGTTAATCGAATTCATGACCTCTTAAGTATACACTCAAGATTTTAGTTGATCACTATTCACCAATGGGTGTTTTAACTAAATAAGTTATGTTTTTAAAATAATTTTTTTTTTGATAAATTATTTTTATTTGGTTTTAATTGAAAGTTTATTTTTTTTAAAATATGTTTTCAAATAAATATAACAAACGCATATACGATTTCTTATTTTCAAAAAGGTTTTCAGGCAAATATATAGAATGTATTTTCATTTCTTTAAAATAGGATCATCTAAATCAATTATTTTAAAATATTCTCATAAATAAAAAGCACACACCCGTGAAGAGTTTGGTATTATTTGCTCTCTAATGAAGTTGAACGATAATTAGTTTGAATTATTGATTAGTAGTAAATTAATTAGTTGATTTGTTTGGTTACCAACTAATTAATCATATGATTATTCTAATAAAATTAAATCTGGTAATATAATTGGTTAATTAATATGCATTAATAATTTTAAGGAGACTTTAAATTAGACATTAATATTAATTATTTAAATAGATAAAAATAACAAAACTTTATAAGTATATAATAGAAAAAATCAAAAACTTTTAAGTATTATAATTATCTCAACTGATAATTTTGTTAGTCTAATACTGTCTCTGTTTTATTATAACTTTTAATAAATTGAAATGTTTGTTTTTCGGTTTGAAAACAAATAAATTAATATTTATTATTTTGGTTGGCAGCAGTGTTAAATTACAAACGGGGCCCTGAACATGTTGATGACAAAAAGTGGGCAGCCATCCACATCTTTCCTAAAGTAATTTCCAAATCTTCAGAATGTGGGCCTAATGCCCACCCACATAAGTGTAAATATAAAATTTAATGTTAGCCCATACTTTTCTGAAACTGTCACTTATACGCTGTTATAATAATTACATTCATAAAAAATTCCTAAAATGTAAAATCCCAAACTCGAACATTAAATTTTTGAGGGTTATCTTACTTGTGCTTCTAGGTAGGGATGTGAAAAAGAAACCCGAAACCGAAACCAGCAAGTACGGATTTCGTTCGGTTCCTACTCGAACTGACCCTCACAAGGTACGTTCGATTCTAGAAATCAGGAATCAGTTAGTTCTATTTTGGTTCCACCTGTAGGAATCGAAAACCAAACCGATCGGTGGGTAGGAATCAGGACTAAATTATAATTTTTGTAACTATTGCCATGTATAGTAACTTTTAGAGGGTTTATTTGTCATTTTTATAAATATAGAGGGTAATTAAATTAACACGGTACCCGAAATTAAACCATGTTTCAGGTTCGATTCGGTTCCAATTCAAGGAACAGCCAGATTCGTTTCCTTTGTTGAGCGGGTACCTGGACCTGCCCACCTTACTTCTAGGCAGGTAAAACCATTGAAAAACAAAGAAATTTGATAATATTAATGCATTGCGACAAGCTTTTTTTTAAAATAAAAATAAATGCATTGAAAATCAACCTTTATTTTGTAGTGACCTTAACGTGCGCTGAAAAACCCAATGTCCAAAATTTCTAAAATTTTAACATATTCAAAACTTCAAAATTATATCGGTAACAAATTTGACAATCGACATGATAAGTTCAACAGAAGAAGTTGTGGTTTTGTCGGAGATGTGTAAGGCTCTCTTCAAAAGTGGGCTTTGTACTGAATTTGGGCCTTTAAGAAAGTTGTAGCCCATGATCATCTCTTAGAGTCGGGCCTCTTCATTAAGCTTCTTATAATCGATAGGCTAAATCGAACAAGATGCTTCAAAAGAAAATGAATTGGAAGGAAAATTATTTAGGGAATATTTTTTTTGATTCAAAATAACTTCTAAAAATTATCAAAATTTATTTTTATTATTCTCAATATTTTTAATATTTGAAATAAGGTCCAAAAACTTTTTCAAAGTTATAAACACAACAAAATAATTTTTTCCTCAATTTGATTTTACCCTATACCCTTCAAAATTATATTCGCAAACTATTCCTTAAATATTTTTAATTCATGTTTTTTATTTAAAAAAATTATATTTAAAGCATAAAGCCACAAACCCTACTTGGTTTGGGCCTGTAAACCCAAA